GTCTTCTGGAGTACGAGAAAATTCTGCTATTTTAACCTCAAAAGCATAAACAGAAGAGATTTAGTGACAATAATAAACCGTTAAAATCTTCCAGAAAATTAAACACGAAAACCAAAACAGTGAAATTAGGTAGGCTACATGATTGTACACTCCTCAAATTAAACTTAAATTCAACAAAACATCTCATTAAACCTACCCATGGTCTCTCCCAGTTTCCCTCCTGTTATGTTTCCTCAGCCTGAGATCAGAAAATAACCACTAAGACGTTCTACCAGTTTGTGCATTCACTTTAAACATTTAACTCTAGTGGCGGTTGCGTGGCTCAGTCAGTTAAGCGTCTGATTTCAGCTTGGGTCATGGTCTCTCAGTCCGTGGGTTCCAGCCCTGCGTCAGGCTCTACGCTGGACAGCTCGGAGTCTGTAGCTTGTCTCCCTCTCTCTGCCCCTCCCCTCCTCATGCTTTGTCTCTCTCTCAAAAATAAACATCAAAAAAAATTATGCAGTAGGGCGCCTGGGTGGCTCAGTCGGTTAAGCGTCCGACTTCGGCTCAGGTCATGATCTCACGGTTTGTGGGTTCGAGCCCCGGGTTGGGCTCTGTGCTGACAGCTCAGAGCCTGGAACTGCTTCAGATTCTGTGTCTCCCTCTCCTTCTCCCCCTCCCCAGCTCACGTTCTCTCTCACTCTCTCAAAAGGGAACAAACGTTAAAAAAATTTTTTTTTAAATTTTTAATGGTTTATTTATTTTTGAGAGAAAGACAGAGACAGCATTCAGAGAGAGAGGGAGACATAGAATCCGAAGACAGGCGCCAGGCTCTGAGCTAGCTGTCAGCACAGAGCCCAACCCGGGGCTCAAACCCATGAACCGTGAGATCATGACCTGAGCCGAAGTCGGATGCTTAACTGACTGAGCCACCCAGACGCCCCCAAAACTTTTTAAAATTTATGCATTTAAACCTATTCCCCCTAGAATCAGGCACAGGCTCAGGGGTTATGTTTACTCTATGATGCTCCCTTGTAATAAATTAGAATCACTTCTGTGTTCCCATTCTGCCCGGTGAATGTTTCTAAATTTTTTTTTTTAATGTTTTATTTATTTCTAGGAGAGAGAGAGAGACAGCGTGAACAGGGGAGGGTCAGAGAGAGAGGGAGTCACAGACTGAAACAGGCTCCAGGCTCTGAGCTGGCAGTCAGCACAGAGCCCGACGTGGGGCTCGAACCCACGAACTGCGAGATCATGACCTAAGCGAAAGTCGGACGCTTAACCGACTAAGCCACCCAGGCGCCCCATGCCTGGTGAATGTTTCTAATTATCCTTGTGCCGTTATTAACCTCTTTAAACTACTGAAGCTTTAAAAAGTGCTTCTAAAAACAAGTTTCAAATTATCTTATACTAAATATCTATAATTTTGAATTATACACTATTTGAATAAAAAAAGAAAAAACTGCTTTAGAGGGATTTCAATGCAGTTAATACCAGGAGCTTCCTTTTCATCCAGAAGAATATCTAATCTCCCTCCTCAGGCGACCCGGAACCTGGGTTCTGAGGTTAGGCTGACAACCCAGCAGTCTCCCCGAGCCTCCAGTTATTCATCTGTACAACAGGGTGAGTTCCAGGAGCTACTATGAGGAATCATCAGAAGCACTAAGGTGAGCAGAATACATGGTCCAAGAAAAGCCTTTGACAAGTACCATCTGCCATCTGCACTGCCAGTGCTGGGGCTGCTCAATCAAGGAGTCTGTGAACTTGGTGCACAAGCTGTACCAAGAATGGGGCCCACCTTGTCCAGTGCACAGTCCTGCACCGGGACGGGGCCCACCCTACCCAGTGCACACAGTGCAGCGCCAGGGCCCACCTTGGCACTGTGTGCAGATACAGTGGTTGTGACATATGGGGTCCTGTTCTTCTGCAGCAGGTCGATATAGACCTCAGCACCATCTCCTCCGTGGACACGCAGCAAGCTGAGAAGCTCATTGACGTCATGGTGAATCCGAAACTCACTCATAGTTTTGCCTCTGAAACAACATCACAACATACTCTAAAGAGGGAAGCAGTTTATGAAAAACAAAACTGTGCTAACAGCTCTAGTGAAGATGAGGCTCGAGTTAAACATCAAGCAGTCGACGCAACAACCCCCTGTATGCTAATTAACTAATGAATATTAACTTGCAACTGAGAAAGTGAGACTCTAATCTCATGTGATGGAAACAAGTTCCGGACATATAAATATCTCCGTCTCATGCTAAACATCGAACACTGGCCGGAGTCAGGGGATCTTCAACCATAAAGGCAGAACAGGTAAGCAGCAGCTGATGCATAAGTCACTAGCACACATGCTTTTAAAATCGGGAGCTCACAATAATCAGTTATGGGCATGAGGTGTAGCTGGGCATGGGTCACGGAGTCCCAGCTAGTCTGAACCCTGACTTGGCCAATTCTGGGCTGTAAGGTCTTTGGCAAGGAGCTCGTCTTTCTAGGCTTCTACTGACAAGGGGTGAATAGTAAGTCCCAGCCATAGAGCTATTGTGGAGATTAAATAAAATCATCCTTATAAATTAGCAAAGGGCCCACACATACTAAGCTCCTAAGGCGCTGTCACTAGAGAAGCAAGAAGGAATTCCGTTACTACACAGGGCTGACCACGTGGAAATGTGACTGGAGAAAGGGCTGGTTTCACCAAAGGAAAACTGGATCTGAGTCACCATCAGTTACCTTATTAACCACAGACCCTGAACGAGGCACTGCAAACCACAAGCAAGGCAGAAAAGACAAAAGCCTCTTTGAATCTCAGGGCACCCAGTTTTACCCACGTCCTACACGGCTTCCTAAGGAATGTGGGTTGTCCTGTAGCAGCTGGACTAGATGTCCTATAAGGGATGGACACTGTCACACTAGATGGCAAGGGCACTGCATTCACCGTGGGAAACACCTGTCGCCCAGATACAGTAGGCAGAGAGGTCGCTTCAGAAGAAGATCATCTAGGTGAATGTTTATTTTTTTTTAGTTTTCATTTATTTATTTTTGAGAAAGAGTGAGTGTGTGCGTGCACACGCAGGGGAGGGGCAGAGAGAAAGAAGAAAGAAGGGAAGGGGGAGGAGGCAGGGAGAGAGAGAGAGAGAGAGAGAATATCGCAAACAGGCTTCATGCCATCAGCTCAGAGCCTGACATGCGGCTTGGTCCCACAACCCTGGGATCATGACCTGAGCTGAAATCAAGAGTTGGATGCTAAACCGACTGAGCCACCCAGGTGCCCCAACGTGAACGTTTATTTTAAAACTATCCTCATGAAACCTTACGTTTGTGGCAAAAATACAAGCACAGCCATCCTCCCATTACAAGTGTTAATACTCCAAGGAAGCTGGTCCTCTGTGCGGATTTGGAACAATTCCTGCAAGATCTGTGGCTCTTGCCTGCGGGCAGGAGCTCTCGTTAGAAGACCTCTGGAAACGCGCAGAGGGCACCTTTGGTTGTCGTAGGGACTAGAAGGGTGCGCTTGGTGTCTAGTGGGCTAGAGACCAGAGAACCTAAATCAACAGAAGCGTCCCGCCGCTGGAAACAGCTCGGAGGGGCTCGCTCCTGAGTCCTCCTGTCAGTTGCCACAAACACCGACTTCTGTAGTGAGCAGAACTCACCTCCTCCTCACGCTGAGGGTGAGCGCACGCTGCCCCACGAAAAGGTTAGGCACACATGCCCCCCCCAGTGAACACTTCAACAAAACAGTCTTTGAGGGTTTTTTGTTGTTTTTTTTTTTTTTTTAATCTTTTAACATTTATTCAGTTTTGAGAGTGAGAGAGAGCGTGAGTGGGGGAAGGGCAGAGAGAGAGAGGAAGACAGAATCCCAAGCAGCTCCAGGCTCTGGTCCAAGCTGTCAGCACAGAGCCCGATGCGGGGCTCGAACCCAAAGACCTTCATGACCTGAACTCAAGTCGGAAGCTCAACCCACTGAGACACCCGGGCGCTCCGAAGATGGTCTTTGGTGAGAGCTCAAAACTAATTGCACAAATGGGCTTGAGAAACATAAAATTTGTGGAAAAAAAAACAAGTCAAGAGCCCTGACGGCTTTTTCAGGGACAGAGAAGTAAAGCATAAGAGATGAATCTTTCCAGAGCTCTTCCTAAGCGCGAAAATGACCGACGGGGAATAGAGCCACAAGCCTTTACTTCCAGGATGAAGGGGCCAAAAGCTTTTTATTAGGCTCTTTAAATTACAGCTTTAAAAATTATTTCCTAATTTTTTAAGGTAACAGGACCCCCCTTCCTGACCGCCGCACGGCACGGGTGTACAGGCCCTGAGGACGCCGAGATACCCGGCGGAGGCGCGGAGTCCGGTTCTGGCCACCCCGCGCACCCCCCGCAGGAAGCCCCTCAGGCCACCCATCACCGTCTGAGCCAGGGAACCGGCACCGCGCGGACAGCCGCCTCCCCGGCGGGGCACAGCGTCCCGCGCATCCCAGGGGCTGACGGGGTGCAGACTAGACAGGCAGGCGGAACACGCAGGGCCCGACACGCCAAGGGGGGGCCGCCGGACCAAGGTAACCGGAAGCCACCGAAGCGCTTTACACAAGGAGGGTTTACCGTAAAACGGGAACTCCGCAAAGACAACTCTGGCTCCGGTTTGGTTACTGGTCTGGAGACAAGAACGATCCAGAGGCCGCCCCAGCCCTTCAGGGGAGAGGCGAACGCGGTGTGGACGGCGTGAGGGCAGTGAGGGCGGAGGAGGAGTGGGAGCCTCTACGGCTAGGAAGCCGCACGGTCAGTTAGGCTCGCGGCCTGAACCGTCGGTGGGGCAGTCGGCGCACGGCCGGCGGCAGCGGAGCGCGGAAGGGAGACTGCGCCCCGCCGCCCCCACGGCTCAGGCCCCCACCGCCCCCGGGGCACTCACCGCGCTCGCCGCGCCAGTCCCCCTGGGCTTGCAGCGCAGCCCGCGGCGGCAGAGGAAGTGGCGCGAGGCCACTTCCGGCCCCGCCCCGGCCCGCTCGCGGACGGTGGCCGGCAGGCTGCGGGGCCGCCGGCGCGCCGGGCGATGCAGCTGCCGCCCGCGCTGCACTCCCGCCTGGCGGGGGGACCCGGGGCGGCCGAGCCGCTGCCCGTGGAGCGGGACCCTGCGGCCGGGGCCCCGCCCTTCCGCTTCGCGGCGCGCCGGGTGCGCTTCTCGCGGGAGCACGAGTTCTTCGAGGTCCGTGAGCCAAGGGAGACGGCAGCTGTTGGCGCGGACGGAGCGGGCGGGGCCCGCGGGCGGGGGCGGTGCTCGCGGCGGGGGCGGGGCCCGGGGGCGGGGCGGTGCTCGCGGCGGGGGCGGGGCCGGGGGCGGGGCGGTGCTCGCGGCGGGGGCGGGGCCCGCGGGCGGGGGTGCGGCGGCGCTCGCGGCGGGGGCGGGGCCGGGGGCGGGGCGGGGCTCGCGGCGGGGGCGGGGCTCGCGGCGGGGGCGGGGCCCGCGGGCGGGGGCGGGGCGGCGGCGGCGCCGGCGGGCGGGGGCCTGAGGGCGGCGCGGAAGGGGCCGGGCCTGGCACGACCGGCCCCGCCCCTGATGTGCGTCTCCTGAAGGATGGGGACGTGCTTCGACACCTCTACCTTCGGGACGTGCTCACGCAGGTGACCGAGGCGCCCGAGAGGCCCAGGTAGGAGCCTGCCCGCTCCTGGGCGCCCTACCCTCTGCCCGACCTCAGTCCGTGCCCTTCTATTCTGGCTCGGTTCTATTCTAGTCTATTCGGTTAAGCGTCCGACTTTCGCTCAGGTCATGATCTCGCGGTTCGTGGGTTCGGGCCCCGCGTCGGGCTCTGTGCTGACTGCCGGCTCAGAGCCTGGAGCCTGTTTCAGTCTGTGACTCCCTCTCTCTCTGACCCTCCCCTGCTCATGCTGTCTGTCTCTCTCCTAGAAATAAATAAAACATTAAAAAAAAAAAGAATTTGATATTTTGAAAGAGACATCGAAGCTTTATTGTTTATCAGGCTACTTAAAGGCGTCGAACGGAAGCCTCAGGCGGTCTGTCATCAGCACGATGGCGTTCCCACGAGGTGGTTTCCTTTGCCAGGGTGCCTGAGTTCACCTGTCAGGTGGCAGGCTGCTGCCAGGTGTTCGACAGCCTGGAGGACTACGAGCACCACTACCACACTCTGCACAGAAACGTCTGCTCCTTCTGCAAACGGGCCTTCCCCTCGGTGCACCTGCTGGACATCCACATCCTGGAGTGGCATGACTCCCTGTTCCAGGTCCTGTCCGAAAGGCAGGACATGGTGGGTGATGCGTCCATGTTCCTTGGGGCGGCGGGGGGCTGGTCCCTTAGCGGTTTGCCTAGTGGGTACCAGAGCTGGGGGGGGTGGGGAGTCAGCGCACTGCTCCCAGCTCTCAGGGTCAGGGGCAAGGTGTGGGGGGATTCTGGGGGTCAGGATGGAGGTGACACCATTGCTGTTTCAGTATCAGTGCCTGGTGGAAGGCTGTGCAGAGAAGTTCAAGACCAGCAAAGACAGGAAAGATCACCTGGTGAGATGTCACCTCTACCCTGCGGACTTCCGATTTGATAAACCAAAGAAAAGCAGAGGGTATGCAAGGTGGTGCACATGTTGAGCTGTGGGATGGGGCCCCTGAATTTAGAAAACCATTCTGAGTTGCGGACTTTAAGGGTGCTGTGGGCTGGGGGTTCTCAGGAGAGGTTAGACTGGTAGAGCATGGTTTTGCCAGCCCAGCTGGGCGTGACTGGGATTTCACCTTGGTGTCTGCCCTGGGGCATCTAGGAATGTTACAGGTTTCTCTGCTGTGCCTGCATCGCCCCCTGGGGGCGCCAGCCCCACTTGCATTTGCTGATTTGACCTGGGAGTTTATCCCAGGCTGTGAGGCCGTCTCCCTCAGGAGGACCCTCCAACTCTTCGTCTGGTTGGTAACTTGGACAGTAAAGCCCTTTTGTTAAAACACCACTGTTCAGAGCAGCCAGGGGAAATGCATCAGGAGTAATTCTAAAGCTTGTATTGTTTTTCTTTGCTTTTTTCAACTGATTCCTAAAGAGATCTGTCAGGACGTCCTGAGAATCGCATTGAAGTTTTACGAGGCTAGCAGTCCTCAGCAGGACTTTGCTCTCTAAAGTACCCTGATTCCGAGAGCCCACTGTGACACGGGAGAGTCACGAGGCTCCGAGTGCAAGGGTCTCGGAGGGATCATTTCAAGGAGAGAAGTCCTGCGGCTCTGGATTGAGTAGGGATTGGGGAGGAGGCTCTCAGTACTGCTTGGTTAACGTTAGCAAACTTCTCATAGTTGTGGAAAGACACTGGGCGCCCTTGGGAGGCGTTTAGCATGTGGCACTACAAAAATATTGATTTCAAAAATTAAAGTGTAATTGTCATTAAATTTACAAAGTGGCATCCATTATGTGACCATTCATTTAGGATTTTGTTGTAATCATGTCTGTCCCAGTAATCTGGAAAGTACACTTTGCCAAAATAGTTAAAAAATATTTCTGGGAGAAAAAGTAGTGTTTTTGTGGTCAGTTTGTCTGTGGGAGAAGACAGGGCCACAGGAGCCACCACTCACCCTCTCTGTCTCCACAGCCCAGCCACACCTGTGGCTGCCGTACAGGCGTCAGCAGAAGCTCCGGGGCATGACGGGGAGCAGTCAGGAGGGGACGCCATGGAAGTCTGCTCTGAACACGCGGCCTCCCTCCCAGAGCCCGTGGGCGAGCGACGGACCTCCAGCCACAGGTCAGTCCCTGGTGTCTTTCTGAAGCAGGTTCTGAGTGTGGGCTTTGTGAGGACAGTGCTGGGCTGGGCCCTGGGCAGTAGTCGCCCTGAGCGAAGGGGACGCAGGGCCGAGTGTTGGCTCAGCAGGAGTTGAGAGCCCGGCTGTTCCTGTTCTCTCTTGCGCGTGCTGTTTCGGAAGCCCTGAGGCACGGGAAGCCAAGGCACCACCTCCTCTTTGCTTCGTGGCCTAAGCTGGGGTGGAAAAACCATTGGTTGTCGTTGCTGAAGTTAGAATCCACTAGTCTGTCTTTCTAGTACTAATTGCTCTCTTCTTGGGCTAAACTGGATTTCAAGTCTAATTTTGGGAAGAATATGGGACAGAAAGAAAGAAATTAACGACTGCAAACTGACAAGAAGGTAGACTCTTACTCCCAGCTGCCGTGGTGCAGCCGCCCAGCCTTTGGCTGCAGGTGGCCCCGGATGCTGTCGCGGTCAGGTTCCTTCCAGATGGTGGGCAGCCTGGGCCTGGAGCTCGGGGCGGGAAGGGCCCTCTTGGCCCAGTGTCCCAGGCGAGTGTGCACTGGTGACTGGGAGGGTGTCCCTCGGGAAGCAGGTCTGAGGCAGCCAGCCAGGTGTAGGGAGGGAGCTGCCCTGGGGGCCTGGGGCACCTGGGGAAGGGAGAGCCCGTGTTCCAAATGTTCCTCAGTTTGTTCCAACAAACTCATGACGCCGTTTTAGGAGTTGGGCTTTTGTTGGGAAAAAACACGAGGGTTTAGTACGAAGATCCTTTTTCTTTTCCAGAGTACCTTCTACCATCTGTTTTGGTCAAGGTGCATCGCGAGGATTTAAAAGCACCAAGAAAAGAAAGGAAAACCAGTGACAACGTGGACAGAGAGCCATGGACTCCAAGCTGACCCTGAGCGGGCAGTGGCCTTCCGCAGCACAGGGCATCAGTGATGCACTTTCTCTCGCCTTCTGGTGTGGCTGCCCTCAGACCCAGGCCTGTGCCACCCTCTGTGTCAGCCCAGCTCTGTGTCGGCGAACGGCTGTGTGACAGCAGAAGCACTGACAGACCCATGGATTCTGGAAATGGCCCCAACATATGCTCTGGTGACTGGAATGGGGGCCCGCTGTGCCTCCTCCCTCTGCAGGGGCCGCCCTGAGGATGTGCTGTATAAATACATAAGTATTTGCCATAACTGTCTCCAGCCGTGACTAATGCGTGGTCGAACTGAGTAGGGAAATGGGCAGCAGCTGTCTGTGGGGAATGTATCTGCACGGCTCGGTTTCCAGAAAGATTTATGAAGCCACAGCGCCCCTGGGAGGTGAGGATGCAGCACCTGAGTCGCGGACATTCACAGCTCAGCGAGAGGCTCCAGGGCTGTCCTTCCCCATCGGCGATCAGCTCAGAGCTGACGGGGGCGGGGGGGTTGGGGGGGATGACAGGCAGAGGGGCCCCTGTGCCGCAGGGGGCATTGGGCACGGAGGGAACCCCGCGGCCAGGGCCAGCCTCCCTGAGGAAGGACAGTGGTGGGCAGAGGGGCAGGTGTCGCGGCAGAGGCTCGCCCTTGCGCCAGGGCCTGGCTGGCATCTTCCTGGGGGGACACGGCACCAGTGTGTGGCTGTGTCCCAGGTGAACGCCACGCAGCTGCAGGAAGAGGGACACCGGGGAGAAACAGCAGGATCGGCTCCGTCCTGATGAAATCGGGGCCCTCGGTGGGGGGGCTAGGCCTGGCAGAGTGGGGACCCACCAACCAGACGAAGAGTTGGAGGGTCCTCCTGAGGGAGAGGGCCTCACAGCCTGGGATAAATTCCCAGGTCAAATCAGCAAATGCAAGTGGGGCTGGCGCCTGGGTGGGGGGGTGCTGTGGGCTACCCGAAGCTGCGCAGTCCTTAGGGACACACCAGGGGCTCAATGCTGTGGTGGTGGGGATATGGAAAGAAATGTCTTCACTAAAATAATCCAGCCATTCTTTAAACACATAAACAAGCAAATAATAATAGGCCTCAGAGAATGGGGACTAGTACCCAAAGTTGCTATGATGTATTATCTAAGATGTTCAATTTCCCACAAAAAAATGATGGGGCAGGCAAAGAAAGAGGAATCTAAAACCCACATGTCTGAAAAAGCAAGCAACAGAGACTGCTTATGAGCAGGGTAGGGTGTCAGCTTTATCAGAAAAGACTTCAAAATAGCCACTATAAGTCAGTTCACAGAACTAAAGGAAACTGGCTAAAGAATCATGAAGTGGATGAGGACGATGTCTTATCAAATAGAGACTATCAACAATGAGATAGAAATTATCTTTAAAAGAACCAAGTGGAAATCCTGGAGTTGAAAAGTACAAAGCTCAATCTTTTTTCATTTTAAAGTTTATTGTTGAGAGAGGTGAGCAGGGAGGGGCCGGGGAGGTGGCAGACAGAAGATCCGAAGCAGGCTCTGCTCTGTCAGCAGAGAGCTCGACGCAGGGCTCGAACCCAAGAACTGCAAGATCATGACCTGAGCTAAAGTCAGACACTCAACCGACTGAGCCACCCAGGCACCTCACTAGCAGAAGAAAGAATAAATGAACATGAAGATAGAGTGATGGGGATCATGTAAGCCGAAAAACAGGGAGAAAATAATGAAGAAACATGAAGAGAGCCTCAGGGAAATGTGGGCACCGTTAAGAGCAATACACGTGTGAGGGGGGGCACCAGAAGAGAGAAAGGAGCAAAAACTGATGAAATCATGGCTAACGACCTTCCCAAAACCACTTAAAAAACAAATTACCCACACATCTAAGAATCTTAATGAACTCTAAGTAAGATAAACGCAGAGAGAGTCTGGACATGTAATAAAAATGCTGAAAAGTGCAAGACGAGGAAGAACCTTGAAAGCAACAAGACGGAAACGGCCGCTTACTTACAAGGACACTTCAGGAACATTAGGCGGTGGGCTCCCATCAGGAGCCGCGGAGGCCAGAAGGCCGGAGGGTGGCGCCTTCCCAGTGCTCAGAGAAGAAGGCTGTCGGGAATCCCACGTCCAGCAATCAGAAGGGAGCGGGGCATTACTCCATATCTCATGGAGACAGAAGGGCCAGGGAGGGATGTTAGGAACAGTTGCATGCCACAAGTTAGATAATGCAGAGAAACGGGTACATTCCTGGAGAGACACAGACACTAAACTGACTCAAGAAGCAATAGACAATCCGAATAGGCCTGTAACAGGTAAAAAGATTAAACAATAAACAGCAACAAACTACCCATTTAGAAAAAGTAGAAAAGTTCAGGACCAGATAGTTTCACTGTTCCAGCAATTATTTAATAAGGACAATTAACACCAATTTTTCAATAACTCTTACAAAGAGTAGCTTAGGAGGGAACACTTCCTGACTCCCTTTTGCAAGTCTAGTTTTACTCTGGCATTAGAACCAGACAAGGACACACAAGAAAAGAAAAGCATAGTGCAGGGGCGCCTGGGTGGCTCAGTCAGTAGAGCGACAAACTTCAGCTCAGGGCATGATCTCAGGGTTCGTGAGTTCGAGTTCCACATCAGGCTCTGTGCTGATAGTTCAGAGTGTGGACCCAGCTTCAGATTCTAGATCTCCCTCTTTCTCTGCCCCTTCCTGCATGTGCTTTGTATCTCTCTCTCAAAAATAAATAAACATTTAAAAAAAAAGAAAAGAAAAGCATAGTTCAATAACTCTTGGGAACATGGATGCAAAAATCCTAACAAACATTAACAAATCAAGTCAACAACATATAAAAGGATTATACACCACAACTATGCGGGATGCATCCCAGGAATGCTAGGTTCTTTTAGCATCAGAAAATCAATGAGTGTAATACCTCATATCAACACAATAAAAAGCAAAAACCATATGATCATCTCAACTGATGCAGAAAAATCATTTGACAAAAACCAGCACCTTTTCGTGATAGAAAGACTTAAAAAAATTGATGATAGTAGGGAACTTCTTCGACCTGATAACGGGCATCTATGAAAAGATGTGCCCAAAACTCACATCATACTTAATGTGAAAGCTGGATGCCTTCAGAAATAAGACAAGGACTTCAGAGCCACTTCTATCCAACATTGTGCGGGATGTTCTGGCCAGGCAGTGAGGCAAGAAAAGGGGAAAAAATCCAGATTTGAAAGGAAGAAGTGAAATTATTTATTTAGAGCGAGAGAAAGAGGAAGGGCAGAGGGAGAGAGAGACAACCTTAAGCAGGCTCCATGCTCAGCATGGAGCCCAACACAGGGCTCAATCCCACGACCTGGGTGGGGATCATGACCTGAACCTAAATGAAGAGTCGGATGCTCAACTGACTGAGCCCCTCAGGCTTTCTAGAAGTAAAATTATTTCTATTCACTGACAACATGATCTTGTATATAGAACGTCCTAGGAACCCACTGAAAAAAAAAATGATTAAAAACAAGTGAGCTCAGCAAGGTTGCAGGACAAAAGATCAATATACAGGGCACCTGTGTGGCTCAGCTGGTCAAGCGTCCAACTTCAGCTCAGGTCACGATCTCATGGTTTAGTTTGTGAGATCAAGCCCCACATTGGGCTCTATGCTGACAGCTCATAGCCTGGATCCTGTTTCGATTCGGTGTCTCCCTCCCTCTCTGCTCCTCCCCCACTCGTGTTCTGTCTGTCTCTCGAAAATAAATAAACATTATGAAAAAAATCTTCTAAGGAAAAAAGATCAATATACAAAGTCAATTATATTTTTCTACACTTGCAATGAACAATTCAAAAGTAGAAATAAAACGATTTCATTTGCAATAGCATCAAAAGAGATAACATACTTAGGAATAAGTTTCACCAAAAAAAAAGTAAAACTTATACTCTGAAATCTATAGAGCATTGCTCAAAGAAATTAAAGATCTAAGTAACTGAAAAAAAAAAAACCATCTCTAGTTCATGATTGGAAACCTTAACACTGTTAAAATGGCAATATTCCCTAATCTGCAGATTCAGTGTGATTTCTGTCAGAATCCCAGTGGACTTGTAGAAATTGACAAACTTGATTCTAAAATTCGTATGTAATTTCAAGGGACCCAGAACAACGAAAACCATCTTGAAGAACCAAATAGGAGGAGCCACACTTACTTGTTTCAAAACTTACTACAAAGCAACAATAATCAGGACACTGTGGTACTGGCAGAAAGATAAACATAAAGATAATTGGGATAGAATTGAGAATCCAGAAATTAACCCATATATTTGTGGTCAACTGGTGGGGAAAGAGTAGTCTTTTCAACAAATGGTACGGGATAACTGGTCATCCACATGCAAAAGAAAGTATACACCTAAGAAGTGAAAATACGCGTCCACACAAAAACTCGCACGTGGATGTTACAGCAGCATCGTTCATTACAGCCGAAAGGTGGAAACAACTCAGACATCCTTCTGCTGATAAATGCGTAAACAAAATGCAATGTGTTCATAAAATGAAATACTAATTGGCCAGAAGGAATGAATCACTAACAATGGCTACAACGCGGATGAACCTTGAAAACTTGATGCTGAGTGAACGTAGGACACACACACACACACACACACACACACACACATGGGGTTATGGGGAAATAGGGGAATGAGAACTGAAAAATACGGGGTTTCTTTCTGAGACGATGGAAACTCTCAGAAGTTGCCTGTGGCGATGGCTGCACGTGTCTGTGAATCTGCTGAGAAGCGCCGAATCCTACACTAAATGGGTGAACCGTGTGGAGTGTGGTGCTCTCTCCATAAAGCTGTTTAAGAGAACAAACAGCCACCTGGAGGGCTCAGGCAGAAGAGCCTACGACTCTTGATCTCTGGTTGTGAGTTCAAGTCCCATGTTGGGTGTAGAGACTTACGTGTAAAAATTAAAAGCTCACAAATAAATAACAGAGCACACAAATCGCGAGACAATCTGGGAAACCCGGATGCTGCTGGGTGCTCGACATGCTTCAGCGCTCCTGCGATGCTCACACTGGCTGTGTTTTCCTAAATCGTCTTTAAAAAGCACATCCTGAAATACGTGTGAAGGAAATAACATGATGTCTGGGTTTTGCTTCAGGATGATCTGGGAGGGAGGGCTGCTTGGCGCTGAGAGGAGACCAGGCTGGCTCTGGGCTGATGGCTGCCGAAACCAGGAGCCGGGGGCATGGTGGTCCTAACTGTGCTCACGCCCTTGCCTCTTCTGCAAGTAAACTGAAAAGGAG